ACAGCGTTTTTGGAAAATATATGATACCTACCCAAACTAACTATACCATGCAGTCGAAGTCGCGTGCAAAAGTGAGTCAAATATAAACATCAAAAAGCGAGTCAATCGAGCGAAGCAAGTTTGGCGCAACAGGAGCTAGCGAGGCGCGAAATTTATGTTTTATGAATATATGCTTGAAAAATTCGTATTATAGTACATACCTAAGTATTGAATATTCGTATTCGCCGAACATCTTCACGTATATTCGTATTCAGTCAATTTTATCACAAACATTAAAAAGGGTCTATGCACTGGGTATATGCGAATGCTTCTTAGTTATATATTTGTTCATTACACGATAATTTCTGAAATGGATGGCAAAGTGAGATGCCTTTTTTTGATAACGCAGAAGTGCACTTTATACTTTAAACCCGAGCCCTCCGAACTCGCACCCGTCCTGAAATGAAAAGGCTTAATGCGAGGGCGGCCTACCTAGTCAAGACCGCCGCGAGTACCCTCTGGTGGGCAGGACCCGGAATCCAGTAAGGAGCCCACCGGGTCCAAAGTTATATGCCTAGAGTTTATTCAAAATATTAGTTATAAATAATTGATAATTATCAGTTATTTGTGAAATCAAAATTAAAAAAAAAATTGTTCCCGAAATCAAACTAGATGTCGCTACGGTACGTTCTTGATTTCTCCATGACAACCCTTCCCGTGTTCTTTCACGTTTTAAAGTAAATTAGTTTTCAAAACTCAATAAACAACTCATATTCTATTTGTAGTATTTGTATTGATATCTAAGTTTCGAGCTTTTAATATTTCAGTTTTTTAATATGTTATTTAAAAGGTACGGAAATTACTGGCTTTGGTCCATTCGTTTCCTGCAAAAATCAACTTTTGCTAGAGTCGCCATCTAGTGGACGTGCTTTTTGGTGCTTTCGTTTTTTTTTAAATACTTCCTCATTGTTATAATACGGTGCACGATGTTCAGTAGGAATTCAGCACGCGAATGTGAAAGGGTCACCTACTGCCTGTACATAGTCCTGTCTTTTTGAAATTTGACTAGCAAAACTATAAAATATGTCTAACACCATCGTTTTTGTTAAAACAAAAAAGAAATATTGCCGATACAGTTCTTCCAGAAAAGTAGCCTAAATTCCCGTTATTAATACATAGAAGTTTCAAATTTAAAAAGCAGAGAAAGAAATAATATTAAGTGGTTAATTTACGTATATCAAAATCACTACCTTTCGTCGTTCACATTATAAAATAAAATTCAACTGATGACATTTTTTATTTTTCTAGATAACCTTGAACTCTGGATTCCGGAGTCATACAATAGACTAATACTTACGTAAGGTAATCATTGATAATAATAAAAGAAATATTGCCGATACAGTTCCTTAATCCCCATTATCAACTCAAAGAAGTGTCAAATTTAAATAGCAGCGAATCAAAATAATATACAGTGGTTAATTTATGTTTTTCATAATGCCTACATTATAAAATAAACTTCTACTGTTGACATTTTTATTTTTCTACCTTGAACACCGAATTACAGAGTCATAAAATAGACTAATACCTATGTAAGGTAATCATTGATAATAGTCTAAGAATAACACTCAAAAAACCAATGTACCGGTATAGAATTGTACTACCCCTTTTCATCCCGTGGGTGTCGTAAGAGGCGACTAAGGGAAATTTAACCCAAGGAGATGGGCAGCAGCGTCTTCTTGTGTGGGCCACAGAACTGGACCATACTGCGATCGCCAACCCGCTTGCCCAGCGTGGCGATTATGGGCATATCCCCCAAATGCAAAGGCACAAAAGGCCACGGCCCCTAGTTCCCGGCGGCCTCGCTATTCCTGGTCATGGTGGCGACCATGGTAACGGCGAGGCAGGGGGTGCTAAGAATCTCCGGGCTACGGGAGGCCACCACAACCGACTGACCCTGGCGACGTACAACGGACGCACGCTACGGCTTGACTCGCATCTGGCTCAACTTGAGGTGGAGCTTGGGAAGATTAGGTGGCACATACTGGGATTGTGTGAAGTCCGAAGAGAGGGGGAGGATACCATAACCCTCGAATCAGGCCACCTAATGTACTTCCGCGAGGGAGACCAACAATCCCAAGGTGGCGTTGGGTTTCTTGTCAATAAGTCCCTTTCTGACAACGTTGTAGAAATTTCCAGTGTGTCGAACAGGGTGGCGTACCTGATTGTAAAGCTCACTGAGAGGTATAGCCTCAAGGTTGTTCAAGTGTACGCACCGACCTCGACACACTCGGACGATGAAGTGGAGAATATGTACGATGATATATCGAGGGCACTCCACTTCACTACTAAGACCCACTACAGCGTTGTTATGGGGGACTTTAACGCTAAAGTGGGAGTACAAAATTGCGGCGAATCGGTAGTAGGATCCCATGGATTTGGAAGCAGGAATGATAGGGGGCAAATGCTCGTTAACTTCCTCGAACGGGAGGGGCTCTTCCTTATGAACTCGTTCTTTAAGAAACAGCCCCAAAGGAAGTGGACGTGGCAAAGCCCCGACAATGTGACAAAAAATGAGATCGACTTCATTATAACGGACAAAAAGCACGTATTCAGAGATGTCTCCGTGATCAATAGGTTTAACACCGGCAGCGATCACCGACTTGTCCGAGGCTCTCTGAATATCGACTTCAAAGCTGAACGTGTCCGCTTGATGAAGGCCAGGCTCCGACCTACTCCTCTCCAAACCATGATGGAATCTGAAACGTTTCAGTCAAATCTTGAGAACCGATTCGCTGCCATGGAAACCACAATTGACGTTGACGAGAACCTTGAAAATGTGGTTCGAATACTCAGGGAAGAAGGTACGAAATTTTGTAGCATGCAGCGTAAGGGCGGGAAGTCTAAGCTCTCCGATAGAACTTTGGGACTAATGAAGGAACGACGTGAAAACCCACCTGTCACTTCGTCAGGAAAACGTGCTCAAAACCAGGAGATCAGCAAACGCGTACGATATGACCTCCGGTGCTCCAACACTCACGCTATAGAAAGAGCGATCGAGCAAAACAGGGGGTCAAAAGTATTCGTACAATCTCTTGGAAGAAGCCACTTGACGAAGTTGACCACAGCAAGCGGGGAAGTCGTTGCTTCGAAGCCAGCGGTCCTCTCGGAGGTGGAAAATTTCTATGCCCGGTTATACGCTTCGCATGCATCTCGACCTGATCCCGAAAATGAGGATTCTAGAGCCACATTAACACGCCACTACACCGAAGATCTGCCAGAAGTCAGCATTGGCGAAATCGAGATCGCTCTGAGACAGCTTAAAAATGGAAAAGCCCCTGGAGAGGATGGCATTACAACTGAATTATTAAAAGCAGGAGGTAAACCGGTACTGAAGGAGCTCCAAAAGCTTTTTAATGCTGTCCTCTTCGAAGGGAGAACTCCGCAGGCGTGGAGTAGGAGTGTAGTCGTCCTGTTCTTCAAAAAGGGAGACAAAACCCTGCTGAAGAACTATCGACCCATTTCCCTTCTAAGCCACGTCTATAAGCTGTTTTCTAGAGTAGTCACGAACCGTCTTGCGCAAAGACTTGACGAATTCCAACCACCGGAGCAGGCTGGGTTTCGGAGTGGATACGGCACCATAGACCACATCCACACAGTGCGGCAGATTATACAGAAGACTGAAGAGTATAATCAGCCCCTGTGTCTAGCATTTGTGGACTATGAGAAGGCCTTTGACTCGATTGAGATCTGGTCCGTTCTGGAGTCCCTGCAGCGATGCCAAGTCGATTGGCGATACATCCAAGTGATAAGATGTATTTATGAGGCCGCCACCATGACCGTCCAAGTACAGAATCAGCAAACAAGTCCTATACCGTTGCATCGAGGAGTGAGACAAGGAGACGTTATGTCTCCGAAATTGTTTACTAATGCAATGGAGGATATGTTTAAGACGCTGAACTGGAAAGGACGTGGCATCAACATCAATGGCGAGTACATCTCTCACTTGAGATTTGCTGACGACATCGTCATCATGGCAGAAAATCTGCAGGACCTACAACAGATGCTGAATGACCTGGCTGACTCTTCTATGCGCATCGGCCTACGGATGAACTTGGATAAAACCAAGGTCATGTTCAACGAACACGTACTACCGGAACCGATTGCAGTATGCGGTGCCGTTCTCGGAATTGTTCAAAAATATGTATACCTCGGGCAAACATTGCAGTTAGGTAGAAACAACTTCGAGAGCGAGGTAAATGGAAGAGTTCGGCTAGGTTGGGCAGCGTTTGGGAAACTACGTCAGGTCTTTACATCGTCGATCCCGCAGTGCCTAAAGACAAAAGTCTTTAATCAGTGCGTCCTACCCGTTATGACATACGGAGCCGAAACGTGGACACTGACGGCACGGCTGGTCCACAAGTTGAAGGTCGCTCAGCGCGCTATGGAAAGGGCTATGCTCGGCGTTTCTCTGCGGGATCGAATCAAAAATGAGGTGATCCGGCAGAGAACCAAGGTTATCGACATAGCCCACCGGATTAGCAAGCTGAAGTGGCAGTGGGCTGGCCATATTAGCCGCAGAACCGATAACCGTTGGGGTAAACGAGTTCTTGAGTGGAGACCGCGTCTCGGCAAACGTAGTGTAGGACGTCCTCAGGCGCGGTGGAGCGATGATTTGCGCAAGATGGCTGGCAGGAGCTGGATGCGAACAGCCGAAAATCGAAGTAGATGGCGTGCAATTGGGGAGGCCTATGTCCAGCAGTGGACGAATATGGGCGACACACACTAATATAACCAAACAAATGAAATACGAGTGAGTTTTAATAAAAAATATAAATTACATAAGGTAATAAGACCTTTTTTTTATATATCTTGACTAAAAAAAGTTTTCTGAGATTTTTGAATACTTTTTGGTGTTTCTGGCAGAAAAACGCGAATAACACGTTCCAATATTGCAGGGTTACCAAATGCTTCTCTCTACAAATGGAGGATTGGTTGCTGTATGTAGGATTGGACGTACAGTCGGTGTATTAGACGATAGAGTTGTGCTAATGTAACATTTATTGTGACAACGCATATCACCGTGATTCTCTCAGCTAGACGGACGAGTAGTTTGTTAAAATATGGCTGATAATTACAACGACGAAGTGATAAATAGACTCAGAGAGTATTTGAGAATACCGAGTGTTCATCCAGATGTCGATTATCGTAAGTATCTAATATTGATAATATTTTTCAATTGTACACTTAATAATATAATTTTAACCCGTGACTTCCGTAGGTTTCTTAAAATTGTCGCTTTTGTTTTTAGTAGTTTTTAAGTTTATCCACTATAAACAAACAAATCTTTACCTCTATAATAATATTTTAAATGAGATGTGCTATTTTGGTAGCAAGCAGATAAACGAAGAGAATTGGCTCGGTAAACATTGTGATATGACAATATATAGATGTATATTGGTCAGTACTTGCGACATAAACTACAAACAATTATAAATAAAACGATTATTACAGATACAGTTACAGTAGCTCGGTGGCGTAGTGGATAAGTGCTGCGGCCCGCGATCGTTGTCGTTAAGCAATTTTCGCAAGGGTCGGTCACGGGATGGGTGACCAAAAACTTATTATCTCGAGTTGCTCCGTGCTTCGGAAAGCACGTTAAGCCATTGGTCCCGGCTGCATTTGCAGTCGTTAATGCCCTCCCATCCGCATTGGGCCAGCGTGGAGGGCCTCCATAACCATCTATAAGGAAGGCCTGAGCCCTTACAGTGGGGACGTAAAAGGGCTGGTGGTGATCTAAAAATCTTAATTCACAGTGAGTGATTTGATTACACAAATGATATTTAAAACCATGGTTTTCACTATACATTAATGATTTGTGAGAATTTTATTTGTTACATTAATAAATTATATCGGTTGTAGTCTTGCAATAAATTACTGGAAGTATTGTCTTTTTCCTGTTATGCTATATTCTAAAATCAGACTCGAACTCGACGTTAACATATCACTGTCACAACATTAATACTATGAAATATAATAGTTATTATATTCTCAAGTAGGTTTCATTTGATTGAACCTTATCTGTGGCAGCGCTGTTCTCGATGCCCAGTTAGAGGTTGATTTTAATGAAAGTTGAGCCCTAGGCAAAACACTGGAATTCATCAATTCAACCGACAGACGCCCACTGCTGAGCATAGACCTCCCCCAAAGATCTCCAAAGCGATTGGTCCTGCTCCTCCCGCATCTAGCGGCATAAATTACAAAAGACTAATAAAATACTAATGAAAGCACACCGATTAAATAAACGTGTAGTTTTGGCAATGACAAAAGAAACTCATTAGGTAGTTACTGTTGGTCTGAAAATGTTGTACTTTTGAATACCGCGAAAAGTATTTATTTTAGGGTCAATACGAATAATTAAAATAAAAATAATCTGTTTGCCATGCCATGTCGCCCCCAAACATGAGCGCCATAGGCAGTTGCCGAGTTTACCTATATGGATGGGTCGGCACCGATCGGCCCTAATCCAAAAGAAAAACCTTAATTCGAACATTCACTGTAACTAACTACGTATTCCTCTTCTCTCATCTGTTTATAATAAAATGCTAAGCAAAAGTATTAAATATATAATATTGGTTCTATATATATATTTAAATAAATAATATGTAACGAGTTATAAACAATATGGTTTTTCGATGACATGTCAACTTTGATTGCGAGCTTACAAAGACCCCATACCAAGAATTCATTTTTCATGTTAGACTGTAAAGTTTTAATATATTTTATATTAAAAATAATCTTTTTTGCTTAAAAACTCGGCGATGTGTTCGTAATTATAAAAATCTACCTTATGTGTTTCACCAACGATATTTAAATAGGTATGTGAATATTTTCTTAACTTTCGTCGTTGTCCTAATCGCAAAAGTTTTTACTATAAGAAGATTGTCTGAAATAATGACAGTTTACCGAAATGTTATGTGTTTTATTTATTAGTATATAGGTTGATATTTAACTTATTGATAAGTTTACTATCTGACTCTATTTATACGAAGGATCGGTAAAATAAATAAACGTGTTCACAGTTATGAGTTTACTTTCTGATGTTGAAGTGCCACTTACAAAATACAAAATATCATAGATTACGTTGCCACAGAGTGGTCGACAAAGATTATAAAACAGATGTGCCACAGTCCTCCCCCCTTAGAAAATCATAGGGATTAATGGCAAAAACAAAAAAAGAAAAGATTTTATATAAAAATAATTTGAACAAAAAATATTTAAAAGACTACCCATAATGTCGTATAAAAACTAATTTAACAACTCGTTACATATCACGTCGGGGTCACCACTTTACCTAAATGTTTTGTGTTTTATTTATTAGTATATAGGTTGATATTTAACTTATTGATAAGTTTACTATTTGACTCTATTTATGCGAAGGATCGGTAAAATAAATAAACGTGTTCACAGTTATGAGTTTACATTCAGACTATTTGATGTTGAAGTGCCACTTACAAAAGACAAAATATCATAGATTAGGTTGCCCAACAGAAAGTTGAAAATTTATAAAAATAAATAATCCTTCTTTATTCTGTGTTTTATGACAGGATACATTTCTTCGAGTAAAGCTACGAATAAAAACATACGCCTTGATTTTTTTGCATGCAAATTCCTTAAAATGTTGTAAAGTCTGAAGGATTAATCTGTTTCCCTGGAAACAAAATTTTCTTTTTTAAATATGTTTTAAACGAAATATGTCTTTATTTATAAAACTATGGATCCCTGATAATCTGCAGAGTAATAATCTTTGTACGTCCTCGCGACCCCCTACAGAAGCTTCAGGACCACCCAGTGAGTCGGGCACGATCCACACGTTGAAAAACACCTCTCTAGAATAACAATTCAAAGATAAAATTTATATATCGTCATTTTAATGTGATCAAAACCAACACAATGATTATTATCGGCGTAAATATCTTGTAATCCAAACAGAATAAAGCAATATTACTTTATGACAAGATATAGATGAAGCGAATTATCGTACAATAACTTATTATTAGACTTACACTTATGAATAGGCTTATACTTTAATATCAACATCAAGATAGTTAATGAGATAGGCAAGAAAGAACACAGGATATAGTATATTGTATGAAATTCTTAAAGAATAGAAGTTTTCTTCATATAAATTATAAAGGTGGTTAATTAAAAGGTAGTGTAAAAGTCGATGCCACCCGAGGCAAGCTCCTCGTCGGAAACTATTATTGTTGTGGTCATTTGAAAAAAAAACTTCTTTTACTTTTTCTATCTTACCAAGTAGGTTTCATTATCACGTCAGTATTTTTTTGTGTTTGATCTAGTACCTGGGGTATTTTATTCCAGAACTAGCTTTTGCCCGCGACTTCGTCCGCGTGGTAAAGTTACTTTGAGCAGCATTTCTAACGAATATTTATTCATTATATCGTGTAAAATACCTGAAAAAAAGTCTTATCCTCTTAGCTTATGCCCTTAGGGGTGGAATTTATCAAAATCCTTTCTTAGGGGATGCTTACGTCATAGTAGCTTTATGCATGCAAAGTCTCAGCCCTTAAAATTGACAAAGTTTCATACAAACTTTCATCCCCAATTTTATCTCCTTGGGGGTGGAATCAATCAAAATCCTTTTTTAGAGAATGCCTACGTCATAGTAGCCTTATTTATACAAAATCTCAGCCCGATCGGTTTAAAAATTACAAAGTTTCATACAAAATTTCATCCCCCATTTTATCCCCTTGAGGATAGAATTGATCAAAATCCTTTCTTGGTGGATGCCTACGTCATAACATCTACCTGTATGCCAAATTTCAGCCAGATCCGTCCAGTGGTTTGGGCTGTGCGTTGATAGATTACTATGTCAGTCAGTCACCTTTGCAAAAATACCCGTTATAGCTGAAGGGTGTTGAAGTATATCATATAAACAGTACTCTGCCAAATTTTCAAAACCTTTGCATTAACTTTTAACTTTCAGTAAAAATTTTTAATAATTAATAAATACATCGAGTGTGCTATGTCACATCACTATTTTAGGTTAATGACCTTACCAGGAGTAATGGCACACTACCTATCTCCTATGTTTTCTAATTTTTTTTTTCTATTCTCCTAGTACACACCCACACATACACACTAAGAATGAGAGAGAAAATATACTTAAAAACATGTCTGCATTTGCCAGTTGACACAGTAAATACTTAACCTATTTCGATCGAAAATAAAATGAAAAGAAATTAAATAGGAATCAAATCATTGGCAAAATGGTATGGTAACCGACGCTGTTCAGCCGGTAGTCTAATTTTAGTAAAAAAAATTATAATACATATTATTATCAACACGCACATCATTTCATAGCATCGTTTCCGACTCAGCTGTTTCTGAATTACAGATCAAACACCATTTTAAGTAGTACCTATTTATGATAGATAGGTAAAATTTATTTAAACACTGATATACGAGTCTAACTTTTAGTTCATACTTTAATGGTCCGACAAATCTGATTGATATTGCGATAATAAAAAAAAATGATATGCGACATAATTAACAAACGATTTTGGCGTATTTAAAAATAAATATTTGCGAATTACTATTTGTACTTTACCTTTTCACTTCCTTATTCACTGTTTAAACATTATTTGTGAGGTTCACTCACTTACACTTTATTAGGCACTTAATTTTATTCCACAAGAAAAAACTAAAGATCGCGGCCAACCTCTGGTTCACTGACGTTTCAGTATAATTACATCTTTTCAAAATAGTCTCAATTTATATCAATACAACACTGCATCCCATGTAACACTGATAAAAGCATTTTTCATAGTACTCGGAATTAGAGAACACGGACATTTTCGAAACGTGATCACATCGACGACGTATGAACAACTGAATAAAGAAAAAGTGATAAAAAGGGAAAGCCGCCAATTTGAGTCCTTTATTATAAGCCGCTGCATAGTGTGCGGCATGTCAAAGGCGCACAGAAAGGTAGCTATAGTTCCGCAATTAAATCTGAGAAGTAGCGGGATAGGGTTGCCATCTTCTCTTATTAGATCGGAAATTTTGTCCTTAAAGCCGGACTAAGTCAAATCTCGCGAAGCCGTAAAACAATATTACCGTAGTAGACAGTAATATTAGTTCACGGCTTCGCGAGGGTTACTGCCTAGTTATTCAGAGGGTGCGTTAAGCAAAAATCACTAACTTTCAATTGATTTTGTAGTAAGACATAACATACAAATAAGCGGTAATGAAAGATAAGATAACTACATCATAATTTTAACGCTTTTATCACAGCCAAAACGTGAATTCATAAAATAAGGCTTGATCGTAACATCAAAACTGCACAACCTATTTTGAAAAAGGTTTTTTTTTATAAAGAAATTTCGGAGACTATACGATGCAAACAAACTAACGATTTGTATTCAAATTTCGCAAATGCCCGTGCAACACTGCGTCTTTTTGGGTATTTGACGTTTTTCGAATTTGTGTATATTCATAGTTTATTTTATATAGCTTCGGCACAGGTATACCAAAAACCTATGAAAACTATACCGCCGGACATGTGATATTAACATTTAGCTGCACACAATCTAAAAAGTCAAACATCCTGCTAAAGACGGATAGATGACAACCCTAGACAGGCGGCAATGTTAAAGTTTGAGCCTAAACTTCTAGTTGCCTAGTACCGAGGTGATCAACATTTTATTGTACAAATTAAAAAAATCGTCACAGGACATTGTTGCAACTAATTTTTTTACATATGTACGTAAGTACATAATACGTAACGTACATAACGTGAAACAGTTCACGTTATGTACGTTACGTATTATGAACGTTACGTATTAGAAATTGTTAATTGACAAAGATTTTGTAAATTTTTATTGTTGTTGATAAGATAGTTCATGGTTGTATTTTTAGTGTTTACAAATTTAAACGTTGTTAATGTTTGGTAAAGACTAGTTTAAGTGAGAAATGTGATATACTTTCACGCTGCACCTGCAAAAGAGCATGCTTGGCTCAGTCTGTAGAGAGGAAGTAGCATCGACTATCATAAGACATCGTTAAATAAATAAATTAATGTATTTCGTGGGCCGTAGTAATCTGCATACAATCGACATACCTGTTTAAAATTTTAACTCATTTTATACACCTTTTCTATTTTTAAACTATTTTTCAAATAAATGACCATTTGTTTGTTAGCTGTGTCGGTCGTTTTAGGGCTTTTTCTATTTAAGGAAATAGGTAAACAGTACATAATAAAACGTCTCATTCATTTTCATTTCTTACAGCATTAAAATAGTGAATCCTATACTCTGATTCTAAAATTCAGTTGAATAGCCCACAGTAATAAAATAGATAATAAATTAAAATCCGTACCAAATGTTTACTACTACCCTAGATACGGTCAACGTCAACTACGTCAAGTCGTCACTCGCGCGCGACATCACACAAACACGAACGATAATGTTTCGTTTCTTTCTCTCTCTCTCTTTCCCTCCCTCTCTATCTCTATCTTACGTCATTGTACACTCAGGGGAATAAGTGAATTTGTTTTAGGCTCGATTTTACCGATTATGTATTGATTTGTCTTACGTATTTAAATACCTAAACAATAAAAAATATTTTTAAGAGTTAAGCTAATGAAGTTATTTCTTAGCACCGGATACAACCCTTCCTGCGCGAGTCCAACTCTCACGTGGCCGGTTTTTTTATTTTTTTATAATTAGTTGTTAGCAGTTTGATAAAACTAGGACTTTTGACTAGTGTAATATAAAAAAACTTCAGTTATTGAGAATATTCAGTTGAGATTTTGTACTTTTCTCAATTCAGAAAGCGGCTCTTTGTCGACATTTTTCCTTGTCATTAACTCTAAGGTAGCAATCTACTTTACTTGAAACAATTTACATGTAGTAAGAGTAAGTGGTTGAAACCATAATCGGGAATGATCATATTCCCGATTAAGGTTTATATTCCATTTTAAGTCTGATCTTTTTATTGTAAAAATATTAGAAAAGAAATAAATTGACCATAAACACAATTGAAATATGTACACGAATCAATGTTTCAATTTATTCCCCGACTGTATCTGCGCTGACGTCATATTAGGTTTACTTTCGTAACAGAAGATTGTAGGTACGAGTACCAGGTTATCATGATTTAAAGACACGATGTGTAAAAATTCTGGTTCAAAGATGAAGCAGCTACAGATAGACAAAGTTACCTGGAAGACACTCAGTGATATACGTCGCCTACTTTCATAATATTGTAATTATTTTCATAAAAATGAAACTACCTAATTATGAAAAAAAATTGTTCGTGCAATAACGAATATTCTACTTATCTAGAGGTCGCGATAGTTCTTCTTCCTCTGCTTCTCTATTTGTTTAGATTAGATGAAATTGATTTTATGAGTACATTATTGAGTGACGTGTCGTAGCATTAATTATAAAGATTATTATTTTGGATGGGCCGTCTACAGTTCGTAAAGAGATATTGTACGAGCATTTCAGGCGAAAGTATTTAATCCAGTGCAGTGACTATAGCGTACTGTTTATTGTTTGTTTCCGTGCCTGATATGTGAGTAGCACGGGCATAGTAATATGGCAAGGTATATTGGAAAGGGAGCTCTAATCTGAATAAAAACGAATTTTGGAAATAGTTTTAAAATAATGTTTTCGTGTAATATTTTGCATGTTCGAATATTTGCGTATGTACACATAACTAGATAAATTATTTCGCTGTACTGTGACGTAGGCACTAAATACCAGTAGATATAACCAGTCTGGCAAAATAATAGTCTTTGATTTAGAAGTCAATGAACTGAAACAGCTGATCATAATGTCGGTGTGCTTCGATAAATGGTATCGAAAATTTTGCTAAACTTCAATATTGTTTTTTTTCAATAAATACAATGGCTACGATATAAAGGACAGCGTCCATTATCTCAGTTTTATGTATACTCAATGCCATTTTCGGGTTAACGGGTTTTTTTGGATTATTTTCCCGTGGGAATGCGTCATTTTCACGCGGTAAAAAGTAGCCTAGGTCCTTTCTTGGGTATTAAAATATCTCCATACCAAATTTCATGCAAATTGGTTCAGTGGTTTAGGCGTGATTAAGTAACAGACAGACAGAGATACTTTCGCATTTATAATATTAAGTAAGTATAGATGGTTGTCACACTTTTTTTACTTACGTGACAATTTGGTATGTCGTACGTTTTTTGATCAAATGCGGTACGCATCATCCTTGCCGCTTGATGGATTAGCGGACCTACTCAGTGGTAAACCTATTGAGTAGGTCAAAAGGTATAGGGCACTCAAAACTTTGGACTCTTTCTTGATTGAGAATGGCACCCAGGCACCCGGGCGTAGTCATCAGACTACTTCTTCACTCATTTCGTGATAAATCGAATTATCAACCACTGTGCCGGCTAAGTTATACCTAATATCAATTGTAAAATTCCATTTACAGATGATTGCGTGGAATTCTTCAAATCGCAAGCAAAGTCATTGGATTTACCGATAGAAGTTTACGAATTTGCGCCAAAGAAACCTGTAGTAATCATCACATGGAAAGGATTAGAGCCCGATCTACCGGCGATATTACTTAATTCCCACATGGATGTTGTGCCCGTTTTTGAGGTTAATAGTAGATAATACAAACTGTTAGCTTTAAAGTTTTGTTTTTCAAACTGTTAGCTTAAATAATTTACACTCTTTTCATTTTATCTACGAAAGTCCTATGTTCGTTGCACGCGAGATCCTTTGAAAAAATAATTAAAGTAATTATAACGAATATTATTCGTTTGTTATCCGTTAAATGAAACAACTTTGAACAGTTTCATCGCGTTTGTATTTTTGTTTTGTGACATTTCGGACTCTACAGGTTCCGTATTCACATAAGACTTAGGTGTCGATTGTCTTTTTAATTAAGAGTGTTTAACCATTGGCCGCCTAAAGCAAATTGATCATGATGGAAGAGAAAATGTGAAATTAAGTCGTGTTGACTTATTTTGGTTGGATAATGATTTAAACCAGGTACTAAAGTTAGTAATAGTTTTATAATAAGACAGATAAAGTTAACTTGAGGTTTGTTTCTTAGGATCATTGGACTCATCCACCATTCGACGCTGTATTGACGAACGATGGATGGCTGTATGCGCGAGGATCTCAAGACATGAAGAGTGTCGGTATGATACACCTGGAAGCTGTAAGACGTCTTAAGGATGCTGGTGTTATTTTGAAAAGAACTGTTCATGTTAGTTTTGTACCTGGTAAGTTATATTATCTACAGAAGACCGCTTATAATTAAATCTTTAAAACTCTTTATTCGCTCACATTTAGGTACTTTATGGTTAAACTAGTCCGTATCATGTTATTATACAATATTTGCCAGAAATGTTTCGATTGCTGGTAAGAACTCATTTTCTATTATTCCTTATAGATAGACAGCTAAATAGAGATCTAGCTATCTTATAGATAGATAGCTAGATAGAGATAATTAGAGTTCTACTCCAAATGTTCCTACTTATCTGCACAAGTTAATTTTTTTCCACGAATCTCTACCAGTAGAGGTTTAAAAGTTTCTTTAATCCAACAAGGCTACCTCTGAAATTCGCATTTTTCCATTTCTTATTTTAAATGGAACTACTCGTTTTTTAGGTAGAATTAATAAAAAGAAATATAAGTCTCTCTGTAGCTGTGGGCTTAACAGAGAGCTTACACAATTACCGTCATATTTAATATCTGTAACATCGTTTTTTACGCGTCTGGTTTAAGCTCGATAGCGTAGTGGTTAGCGCTCTCATTCTGCGGTACGGTTGTCAAGCAACATATACAAGGGCCGGTCATAGAATGGGTGACTAAAAAGATATTATCTCGAGCTCCTCCGTGCTTCGGAAGGCACGTTAAGCCGTTGGTCCTAGCTGCATCTGTAGTCGTTTACACCCACCAATCAGCGCCGGAACTCTTGTTATCAATTCCATCCATAGTGAAAGTATTTGGCCCAGCAATGGGGACAGACAGGTGATGTTGAATTCGCCATTAGAGGTGTAAATGTAACAATTAAAAGCGTACTCGTATGTATTCGTTACTGTAACAATTATCACTCGTTATTTTCGTGTCGTTACGTTACACGTTACTTCTGAGCGCTTAGTGTAAGTTTTTTTGACGTTTACATTCACTGTCGATCGTGAGCGCGTTAAGATTTTAGCATGGAATCCGGTACAGCGCCCCTAGCGGTAACTACCAAGAACTACAAATCTCCATACAAATTCTTAACGCGCTCACTAGTGAACGCGTTAGCGTAAAACTTACACTTACCACTCTGATACCTCATAATAATATGGTATGTTAGAAACATCGAATTTTAATGCGCACGAGTCAATGGCGTTTTATTTTTTATACATCATTGGTACGTGTATTAAGTAGAAAAGTTAGTTATAAGTACCTATTGAACAATTTAATAATAATAGTCTCTATCTTTTTTTCTTATAACGAAATAAAATATAATAATAAAATAAAAACACATTTGAACAAAATAAAATAATAAAAACAATCTTTTTTTTAAGAATTAAACTGAACACTCATCAACGACGATACTTATTCATAAAACTGAAGCTGTTACTCAGTACCGTATATATACGATTTGCTAGAGTTCTATTCGCCAGCGTCTATACCTATCTTCAAATTCAAATTCAAATTCAAATTATTTTATTGCATGTCACATGAAACTAACTTTAATAAGAAAACATCTTTCTCATTGGGAGCGTTGACGTCGTCTACCATTTTATTATCCAATAGCCTTACCTTAATATTTTTTACCTCTTCTACAGATGAAGAGATCGGGGGCGACTTGGGTATGAATTTGTTTACGCTGTCCGAAGAATTCAAAAACCTCAATATTGGCTTCGCCCTCGATGAGAGTTGCCCATCTATAGATGACACACTGTTGGCATTCCACGGTGAACGCACATGTAGACGTATGTAACTGTGTACCTAACAATTTCTAGAGGAAAATGATAAAATTGGAATATAATTCCTAAGACGGATACCTAGGATACATGAATCTGTTGATATTGTTTTAAAATTTATCGTTTTTTATTATTTACATATTTAATCAATGCTTTAAATTGTTTTTGGTTGCTGAATTATTGAAGTTAAACGAAATTTGATACAAACAATGCTATTTCGAAAAGAAAGACAAACCAAAATGTTTGATAAAATAATAAATTAAATAAGTAATAATTTAAAAAGAATATAAACAGATTCGTGAGAAATATCGATAAAACTTAGGTTATAGCTACTACTACGGCTACGTCCATGAGTGAGGCGGTCGTGCCCTTGAAATTACTTCATAAAATATTCATTATAAAAAAAAATAACTTTCGTATCGCATATTTAATGGACTTATTGACAATCAATATTATTTCCTTATTAGAAACAATTCAAGAAGAAATTTTATTTAATATTGTCTATTAGTAATACTATTTCAGATCTGGTTACTTTCTTATTCAATCTTTTCTAAACTAAAACCGTAAAAAATGCCAAAAACTTAAAGCTTACTTATTTCAGACTTTTCAATAATTATAAATGTAATTGGTAGTTATTCTCGTATCGCATAATTTTCATTGATATTGCCATATTTTCCAGTGCATATTTTCAAGAAGATATTTAAGAAAATAAGAAAACATACGTCATCAGGCAATATTAAACATAATATTGATTTGGATAAGGAGATCCAATCTGCACTAACAAAAAAAAAACGATATTAATGTATGAAAGTTACTCTTAAACTTAGCTCAATAGGGCATTGGTTAACGCCTTCGATTCATGCGGTAAACTAGCAATTTTCGCAAAAGCCGTTCATTGGATGGGTGGAAAAAATGCAAATCTTTCCCGTACTTTAGAAGGCATGTTAAGCCTTGATTCTTGCTCCATCTTCAGTCGTTACCACCCACCAATCCGCACTGGACCTACGTGCTAGATTGGGATACTTTCTTTCGATTTAACACCATCGATTTTTAAAAAGACACACTACAAAAAAGAAATTTGATTCGGAAACAGAGACAAAGTCATAAAGTTTTACAAAACGATAACGCAATGCATACCTTCTAAAGAATTACAAAATGTTATTATGAAATAGGTGTGCTATATATTCAGTCTTTAACTAATTTAAACTTACGACAGTGTAACCGAGTTAGATACAATCTTGGTTGTACAATTAGTATGTCTAGCTTAAGTTAGCAAAACACAGCGCAATATATCGTTATTAATAATCTGAATTATAACGATTAAAAGAAGTTTTAGATTCCTAACTTTAAAACCTTCGACATAAATAGTTTTAGAGCAAAAATAAAACACGTTCGTAGTCAAATTATTCATGGAACCATCAACACTTGAAGCAGGCCCCGGGCTTAGGTGACTAGCGCCCTGGGCAAATGGTCTACTGGCGCCCCCTTTATTACTATAATGTTAAAGCAAATAATCTATGTTACTTATATTTTATGAAGGAAATAACAAGAAAACGCGTCTTTCATACACAAAACTGTAGACATTTATTTCACACTTCCAGTAAGATTACAACTTTAAATTACATTTTTAAGGCAATGTGTTTCTCTCGTTTAATTTTATTATCTCTTTAATTTTGCGCCCCCAAAAATTTGGCGCCCTGGTCAAATGCCCAGTCTGCCTATTTATAGCCCGGGGCCTGACTTGAAGTAGATAATGCATGAACAGCATTATAAAAGAGTTGGGGTTGCTTCGACCTTAATCGTACTAGCCGAATTTTCCAATGTACGCGGAAGTTTACTTATTTTTCGTCATCAATTGTACTATTTAAAAGTACTCATGCCCGCACACGATGTTTCAAAGAATTTTGACTGCATGCCTTTATGTCTGAAGATATGAAAACAAATTGATTGTTTAAAAATAAGTTCTTTACCTACCTCAACCTTTCTCTTTACCTTTTGACAGAAATCAAAGTAACCTGCCTTGGAAATCCTGGACACGGCTCTTTATTATTTGACAACACAGCAGGAGAAAAAGTATGTACAACTTACTAATAATATGTATATATTACTGCATTATTTTTACCAGTGTTTGATTCTACCCCACTAAGCTTTTTATTTATTCTTACACCTTATTCAACTAAATAGCAATAAATTACTTTTCTTTCTTTCTTTATCATTACTAATATTAAAGAGGTAATATTTCATTGTTTGTGTTTTTTTTTTATTGTACATATCATCACTTCTTTTAGAACTGGTGAGTTTCTTTCGTTCGTTCTTCTTATTGACCAAAAGTACTTTTAATATAAACAATAATTTCATTTGAATAAAGATTATTATGACTTTTTGCATTGAATAAGCTTCGAAACAAATCTTTCAGTTGCAGTAATCTACATCATATGCTTGTTAGCTAAAACTTACGTGGACGAAGTCGTGGGAAGTACCTAGTTATTATATGTACGTATCACTTCATTAACAACTTAAATGTTTATCTTCTTCAGCTTTATTATATGATAGACAAGTTCATGAAGTTTCGTGAAGCGGAAAGGAAGAAACTGAAATCGATATTAGAAACGGGTGGCGTCACTACTGTGAATTTGACCATGATCGAGGTAAATGTAGAAACATAAAATAAGTACTATCCAAGACAAATGAGAATAGGATCGAGTTAGTTACGAACGTTACGGCTTAATTGTCATTTTAGTACAGACAGCAAAAAAGGTTCGCTGAATATTTATTGAGTTTATCGACAAAAGAATATATTTATTACATCGGATTCAATTCAAAATGCCTATGAGCCGTAATCCATTAGGATCATATAAAATTATGCATTCAATAAATGACAGAAATATTTTTTTTTTTGTTTACTCTGAAGTTGAAGCACAATGAATCAAGAAAGGCCGTTTGAGAGTACTCTTATTTGGCTCACATAAAACAATTATAAAATATTAATTCATTGTGAAACTAGTTTTTAGTTTCGTGACACTAGTTTAATGTTTGACGAATGTTACATCACGTACTTCAGTAATACTCTTGTCGGATCTTCCCTCAGGTTTGCACAGATCTATAATTAATTATAAAATTTGTATTTGTACAGGGTGGTGTCCAAGTGAATGTATTACCAGAAAAATTATCCGTATCATTTGACGTGAGGATTGCGCCTGATGTGGATCACGATGAATTTGATAATATGGTAATAAGTTTCTTTATTATTTTAAAGATCATGAGGTACCCGGCACGAAAGTAAATCCAAATGCGGAACTTATTTGTAAATTTATTGATATTTATCGACCTAATTTTGTAGAAGTTTCTTGAATGTATTAACCGTTTCATTTTATTTTTAGTTACTGCATAGGATTTACTTTCATACGACCTAATGTACCCCACTTATATTTTAAAGTTTTTCAATAGAAAGATTCTCCGAATGAAATGAGAATTTTACAACTTTAAAGTTAAGTGATTAAACTTTAAGGTCATCTTATAAAATAGGGAAGATACTTTAAAAACAATTTTCAAAATTATATTTGCCCTTATTACAATGCCAAAACGTCTAGCAATTAGTTTTAAAACCAAACCACGGGCAAAAAGACGAACGGATACTAAAAAATTATAAGGATATTGTCTATGGATCTATTCCTAAAGGGTTTCATCAGTTCAGCGATCAAACTAATCGGCTATAATGTAATGATACAAATGCAAAATGTATCTCGAACTCCTCTGTGCTTCGGAAGGCAAGTTAAGACGTTGTCCTCGGCTGCAACTGCAGTCGTTTATACCCACCAATCCGCACTGAGCCCACATGGTGGGTCAAGGCCCATTCTCCCTATTCAATTCGATTGCATCCTTAAGATAGGCCTGAGCCCTAGTGAGGCATTAATTAATTAAACATTAATAGGCTGGCGATTTTGATTACAGATACAGTCTTGGTGTAATGAAGCAGGAGAAGGTGTCTCCTTCGAGTACTACATCAAAAATCCACAGATCAAATGTACTTGTATCGATGAAAATGCGGTATTTTTCACCGCTCTAAAGGATTCCCTGGATAAAATGTAAGATTTTAATTATTTTATCGCTCGCGTACATAGTATGGCCTATGTCAGCCATGTATGATGGAGCTTTTCATAAGTGAACATTATTGAAAATGGGTTAACATTTATTGTACTTGAGAGCTTAACAAAGAACCGAATAGTTTAATGCTTTCAGTGTATAAACTTTATCGACATTCCTGCTGTCGTTTAAGTATTTTCCAATTCATAAGTTAATAAAATTATAGTAATATAATTTCATTTACTTTCTAATATTTCCAATTCTCAATTTTTGTAATGCAGGCAGCTTTCAGCAGGTTCTGTCTATACTATTAAAATTAACTGACCAACATTAATTATAACATCAACTGTTTTATCCAATATACTTATGTATATTTAAACGTAATTAAATTATTTGAGAACAATATTTTTAGAAAATTAACCTTTTCCAGGGGTATCAAGCTGAACTGTCTCATCTGCCCTGGTACTACAGACGCTCGATACATTCGCAAACAGGGCATCCCTGCGATCAACCTTACCCCAATGACTAACACGCCATTGCTTATTCATGCCCATGACGAGAGAATTCACGTGGACAGATATAGAGAAGGAATCGATATTATGGAAAAAATGCTTACAGCTATTGCTAACGTATAAAACTTATCACAAATAAAAAACTTATAATATATTATAACCAATAAATATATTTGATAAGTGAGTTATTATTACTATTTACAGTTTACTTTAAACCTACATTTATTTATATACAATTCCTGTATTCACGGGTAGATTTTTCTATTTCCTGATCTAACTGGTATATTTTAGTAGGTAGCTTTTAGGTATTTACTGTCAAGAGTCAAATGAATATTTTCCCGACATAAATTAGGAACTTTTACTCTACGTAATTCCATTAATCATTAATTTCATAAATAACTTTGGTAAGTAAGCACTCACTTAAATATCGTTAATAGAAAATGCTTTCCACAATCAACTTTAATCTCAACTATTAATCCATAACGGTATAAACTCTATTGCAGTTTAGCAGTAGATATAAAAACCTAGTATAATAAACATCCATTACCCCTGAATTCATAGTATACAACTGATAAGATTGAAATGGTCACTCGCTAACAACATTCCGTATCCAAATTCTTCTAAAACTCTCCCTTCTTCTTTCCACTAAGATCCTTTACCGGAAGTCTTCGGGGACATAATTTCGACCAAAGACTGTTTAGAGACGGGCGCTTTGCTTCCAAGATTATGCAACAGGGCTTGACTCTTTTGGGCAACAATCACACTCCTCTGGGAGACTAAAGTAGGACGACGTTCATTGAAATATTCTTCAATTTCTTCAAGGGTCAAATCACTTGTTTCTGGCAGACAGAAAAATATTAAGATGGTCCCTGTGAAAATAATGATTTTGAGTTTAATATTTATATCAATGTTTTCACTGCACAAGCATTTTATGTGGGTGGAATCAAATAGGAAGAACCATACCGCACCACGTGCATTGGTGGGTCTACACCCCAGCAGATCCACCCACGATCAAAGGTTTACCGCGCCTTTTTAGTTAAACTATCCTATGATCGGTCAATGAGAAAAGTAATGAAACTTTGCAATCACAAATGAAAAAAGAAACACACCAAAGGTCAACTACTGTGCCACCAAGACTCACTGATATGGCAAGTACTGGGGCAACTATAAAATGGGACAGAATTTGATCTTTCTTGGCTTCATTGGCTTTTAAAATTTTGTGATCTGGTACTAAATATCAAAAACTTGCTATTGACGTGATATCGACTGGTCATAATTACACTAACATATAAATTTAGGCCCAGTACTATTACTACAAAAATAAAAAAAAATATTGGACGGTACAACTCCGTACGGAAGACGGATAGGACGGTGATCTTAAATATGAGCGCAGTTGTTATTTTTAGAGTAGGTAAGATAATCAAATTTTAGAAGAAGAAGTTCAGTACACATAGTAAGAAATATGAAAATCTAAGTAATATTAGGTTCTGACCTAAACAAGACGCTACTCCAAATATAATCAAAATATAGGCATATCCCATTACATCACATAAGAAAGGAATTGCCATATTGACTCCAAATATCATTAAGTTGACTATAGAATTTGTTATTCCACCGAGCAAACCACGAACCTGAAACATGAGTGAACGAATATGAAACACTGAAATATTTGTACACCATCCAAAATGTACTAAATCATCATTATATTATTACCCATAAGGCCTCCATTCCAATGGATACTCCAAAAAAAGTTGGATTTCTTTTAAAATTTACTTTTAATTATTATATATATCATTTTGACTTATTAGTACTGATTGAAAAGTATGTTAATGTTATCCTTGAGATTATGATTGTAAACTCGCAAAAATAATATAATAATAGTTTATTTTCAATCTTATAACAGCTCAGTATACCAGCACCAAATTTAGAATTTGTCTTGGATAAACAAGTGAAGATACAATTATCAGTACCCGGTATTTTAACATTATTTGCAGCCCCTAATATCTGGCCGCCCTACGCCCGGGCCTACTTTGGCCTTAAGGTAAATCTGCCACTGCCGATGCACCCGCCGCTGCCCAATTGATGGAGATTGTTTAATATGCAATGTTTTGTTACCTGAAGTACTATGATACTTACTTGCAGCGGATATACCTCGTACATAATTAAAAACGGTAAAGTATAGCCTAAAGTAGCGAACGCTACGTTCAACAAATAACATATGTAAGGAAATATTGTGGGCTTATATGTGTATAATAAAAATAATCCTAGCGCCAGGCAAACAACACCAATACCCAAACCTGCAACAAATTTAGTTAGTTTAAACTTAGTTTATCTCAAAACCGAATTTACATTACGAAACCAGTGTCATGCATGATGAAACAAGTTTCATGAAACTAATTTCATACACATTTAAAACTATTTTCCAACAGCATGCAATCTAACAGTATCTCTAGAAATTGGGTCTGTCAGCAATGTAGCTTTATTTTACTCACACACTATAATCAGTGGGCTAATTAATAATAAATAAATATCGAACAACATTACACACATTGATCCGATTCCGAGGTAGGTAGCTTAGACACTTTTGTTACGGATATCAGAAACAAAGGGGAAATACAAATATATACATAATATAAATAGAAAACACCCAGACACAGAAAAGAGATAATTGTTAATCACAAAAATGTTTGTCCTGGGTGGGGATCGAACCCACGACTCTCGGCGTAATAGTAGGAACGCTACCACCGCGCCATTGAGCCCGTCGTCTTTCAATGGTATAGCGATGGCTAGTTATGTAATAATGGAAATTTTAAAGTGGCAATCACTTTTCGGACGAATGTTGATTGAATGATCACGAAACAATAAAAACTTACCTAAACCTGTCGAAAGATTGCAGATAGCATTTCGTTTGACATTTCTCAATAGATATTTGCGTCTAACGTCAGCCTTACGGTTAGTTGCACAAACGTACATTAAGGTTTAATGATTCCTTTAAGCTCTAATAAATGTCAAATTTGTATGCGTAATGTCGATTTAAACTAGTGAAAATTTTAATGGACGTCGATTCAACTGGTTTTTAAACAATTCCAATTAACGATATCATTTATTCAATATCTTTCAAAAAGGTTACGATCGTATTGCTCTTACATGTCAAATAATTGTAGCATAAATTTCTGAATGTGTTTAAAAGAAAGTAATTGCATTAGATTTAAAAACTAGACGATTAGGCGACAGGTTGGCTTTGTAAACCTTGACGGAATTAATTGCGTGACATTTGTTTTAGGTTTAGGTAAAATATGCGCATGACACGAATTACCAAAAATTCAAGACACTGGTATAGTTTCATGCCAAAATATGCATGTATTATGAAACAGGACAATTACAAGGGAAAATAAATGTAATGAAACTAATTTCATGTCTCTAGGTTCGTAATAAGAATTCGGCTACATACCTGCAAAGAGTTCGAACTCCAATAATGTACATTATATGTACATAATAAAGATTATAACTACAGACACGAACACTACTAAGCTGAAATTACAATTTATTGAGTGCATATATCTCTGAAGCCTTTTATCTCTATTGTATGATATCAGAAGTGAGTTGAAATGCGTTGTTAAGTCAGCGTTATTACATAATATTACCTCTACGTTAAAGTTTTTGTGCTTTTTAATGATTCTCGATTACACTTTTAAGCGCTTAATAATTTATTTTAGGAGTAACTTTGTGATATATATAAAACTCAGAAAGTATACAGAACATCGTCGAATATACAGTCTCACTATCTTTAAAATAACATATAACGAATGCAAATAACTACTTAAAATGCAAATATAATTTTACTTGATATAAGGGCTTGGGGTCGTTTACCAACTTTGTACATCAGGACTGCAGACAAAATACTCGTCACTATTCTTACAATTTCCAATAGTAAATAAGCAGTTCTGGAAGCCATTGGTAATTTTGTCGTCTAATAAAATAAAATATGGCGTTAAACATTTAGCGGAGAGTATAGGCAAACGTTCTATGTCCGCTCGCAAACAATAGACGGATGGTACACCACGGATATGTCTTTATATGAATTTGTAACACTACGTCGACTATCTGTATTCTGTATTCCGTACTGGTTGCATCAACAATATTATATTATTGATCAAAGAGAATGTGATTTCCCCTGCGTTAAAAAAAAAGGTCAAGTGCTGGGAGACATCAAGTGTCTTAAAAATACCTCGGTAATGATAGATACTCTTCTAAATAAATTTCTGCATTTTGTAGATAACTCTGATTACGAGACAGGGTTGTTTGTTGTTGTCTCCGGTTAATCTCCATCTCAAACTTTAAGTTTCAAAATTAATATGTTTTCTATGAGAACAACGTATCGATGAGTCGCTGATTTTATTCAAGGGTCGACTGTCCTGGATACAAAGTTTCAGGACAAAAGCTCGATTTGGATTAAAGTGGTTACCGCATCCGGTCTGCGATTCATAAATCAGCGGCCGTTTAAAAGATGGGTGTCCAAAAATTTATTATATCAAGTCGAGAATCAATGTCAATGCCTTATAAATTCTAGTGAAATAATAAACACTAGAGCGAGACGACACGATTTTATTAAACATACTTTGTACGAATAGGTTAGATGGGAATTTTATGCCTAGAAGTTAAGCGACAATTTGGGTAAGCAAATGCTGAATCTGATTGTATATTTCCTTAAAATATTTAAACTATCCTAAATTTTTGCCGTTTTTTAAATTTCCCAAAAGTTGCAAAAATAGCAAATTTTCTTTGTTTTTCTCAAAACATATCGATCGTTCAAGTTCAAATGAGAAATAGAGTAAAATGCCAGACTGAAAGACTTTGTGCTCTAGGCACTTGATCTCTCTTACCTTCTTGTAATTAAAAATAAGACTTGGTTGACCCCTTTCCCACAAAAAAGTCTTACTAATTAAAAAAAGTTGTCGGTGATATACCTTCAAAAAATCAAATGTTCCCAAAAATATTATATTGGCACCAGATAACTGTGATACTAAAATATATCCAAATATTATCCAAAAGGGCAAGCAGGCCGGCCTTGTGTCCAGAAGCTTCAATTGACCAAGAAATGTCTGTCTGCAAAGAAAAAGAGGGGATATTATTTATTATAATAAACTTGAGATGTGAGCAATGTATGTATATGTATTATAATGTGACGTAATGTATTGTTTAATAGATATTTTAAAACAATTATTACGAGTCGACACTTTTAAGTGCAGAAAAGTTATATAACAAAATTCCTATTGTTTTTACAAAGTCAAATTACCTACTGATGTTGTTATTTGTTGTAAATTCTATCATCTCATTTATTTCATTACTTATGTCATAATGCGCTCCTCTAAAACGTTTTAAGGTCTCTTTTGTATTCTCTATTGTGCCTTGTAAAAGTACATAGTACGGTGTTTCTGGTAAGAGCAAACCTGAGATACCGATCCCAACAGAGACTATTGCGTAGCCATAACAAAGTTCGTTCCATTTAAAAGACGCACCTATGAGTTCCTGGAATATAAATATATAATAATGTAAACAAACGTCTACATTAATAAACTATTTTATTATATATTTTCACTTTGGATTTTTAAGAGGTATTCGAAGAAACGATCACCTCATGGTATGATCCTTTCATAAGTCTTTCGACTCCCCGACGTTCATTACTCTTTTCATAGTATTCTCGTCTTTGCAATCCAATCGATTTGATCGTGAAAGTTATTTTTGGCCTTAAGCTTCTTCTACATCATTCCTTTCACTTCTGTATTACTTCTATCATTACCTTTCATCCGGTGTTCTTTCCACATCTTCAAACCCATGGAGTATGCATTTATTTCATTCTACATCGACACCATCTGTCAGGTCAAATTTCTTTTCTATCTTCACATTACGAATGCAATCCACGACCGTTACTCAAATTGTACTCAACGGTTACATCTCGACTGCATTTATTCTACCTATTTTCATGCTTTCACTGATGTACACTACTCTCACTTCTTTATATTGAGATCACATCAGTACTGTATAGTGTACCTATATCGAATTGCGCTTTTGTCTCAAGTTGCAATTACATTTTTTTTCAAGGATCCTTATACACTGTCTACTGCGCTCACTCTGACTATGTCAGCGGTTTCCATCCCTGCCATGCCAATCATTCACTTGTTCCAATAAAAAATCATCAACCGTCATCCCTATATTTGTTCTGATATCATCTCTTTGCAAATGCCATTTATTATACTTACACTTATCGCATTCAATTTTAATAAATAGATAGATATCAACTATCCTTGCTTATCTCTAATAGAGCGATGACTGAAAATTGATTGGAATTATTTATATTGTAATCGCAATCATATCTTGAAACAAGACGACAATTATTGAGTAGACCTGTATGATTTGAGTCCGAAATAATTTTCTTACCTGAATCGTAAGCCCGATGCACAAAGCGATGGTTGTAAAAACGACAATTACACCGCGCACGTTTGGCAATGACATCTCAGTGATATATGCACACGGTGTCCCCATTCCCATACCGCAGCCTACGCCGACCACTGTTCGGCCTACAATACGTTGGATCAAATGAAGGTGCTTTCGGGAAATTTGGAAAATTATCAATCACTGAAAACTACGCGTACTGCAGCATTTCTTTGTACTACGGCTACTTAGGGTAGGTCATGGGCGATATTGAGGTAGGTCGTGAGCGATATTGAGGTAGGTCGTGGGCGCTATCGGGATGGGTCACGGCAACCTTTTAACCCTCTACTACGTGAATTACTAAAGCGTTCTTTTAAACAAGTTTTAATTGTGGAAATAGCTTTATTTATGTACCAAAAAGATATATCAAAACAAAAATTATACTAAATATATATTTAAAAAATATATTATTTTCTAGAATCATATAAGGGCTCGTATGCACTGAGACTAAAATTATTTAGTCAAAACATAGAATAACAAATTAAGAAATATATGAAAATATTGAAGATCACAGAAAATATACTAAAGTTATTCGTGAAATATGGAACAAGCCATTTGGTTTTTCATTATAGCATAGAAAAGCTTTAAATTCTGAGTATTTAGTGTAACAACTCCAGTGAAGGTGTTGTTTTCAATTGAAAGTCAATTGAAATTTGATTCCCATTTATTCTTCTCAGTGCGGGTTTTATGATGACGCTTGATTTTTTATTGACAAGGTTAGCTAGAGGGACATTGTCATTATCGAAATTTTCGTCATTACTTTCGAGAACTAGTACTGGTCTCCTAACTAAAACAGACAGCGAGGGATCAGCGCCTTCAGAATCTAAATCTTCATCATTGCTAAGCATACTATCACCCGAAACAGGTTTAGTGAGATGGTTTTTACTGTAAACGCAAAAACTATCAAATCAAAGCAAAATAAATTTGAAGCAAAGGAAATAAACTTCGTTTGAGAGCATGCTATTTCACATCAGGTCATACAAAAGTATGTGTTAATGCAAACGAGACCATATATGGAATCGAGATAAACCTGGTTGAAAACACTAGAAAATAGTTGAAAATCGGATAAATGATTATTAATAGATAAAGTTGAGTATATCGACTTCATGAAAATATTTTTTTGATGTAAAAGTACCTTCCTTTTTTTCCTTTTTTGAAAATAATCCATTGTGGTTTTCTGCCCGCGTTGATAAAAAATAGGGTATTTGGAAAAAAAATTAACGTTGACAGTTTTTTTTGCATTTTGTTATTGCTTAACAGATATTTAATGGAATTACATACATCGAAACGTTCTATTATGCTTTATTAGGAAATAAAATGACAACAAAATTGTAATACCATATATGGGTCCATATGCAGTAGAGGGTTAAAGACCTTGTGACCTCCGTAATCGCTGTCTTAACTCAATGTATAGCTTTTGATTGGATTGCCTGAACATTGATGAAAATACGCTGATTAGCAGTGAAAAGTAAAACAAGCGCTTGAAAAATTCGTCGGACTTGTTGGGTTTCATGTATCGCAATGGTTAGGAGCAATCATCTGAATTGCGAAAGATTGTAGGTTCGAATCCCATCTCGGAGTAGTTTAAGAATTTCCCATTAAAATATTTATCAGTACAGCATTATGAATGAAAAATTGATCAAATATAAAAGAGATTTAAACAATGGTAGATAAATACAATATACTCATAGTTTACGAACCTATTATTATTTGCGTTGCGGATTTAGATAATCCGGTGATGATCCAACCTAGGAAAAATGGTATGCCACCTAAAACAAAAGCATATTTTCGTCCACTCATATCCATAATGTAACCTCCAAGTAGGCAGCCGATTGGGGCGGCAAGCCATACTGCACTAACTGAAATAAAAAAAATAACTACTTTATAGTTCAGATTCCAAATTATAAAGTCTAAAGAGACTTAGTGGAAGTCAAAAATATTCGCCATCAACTCTAAAAGTACAATTGTACATACTAGGTAGAAATCTTTCGTCAACAGCAAAAGATTTATTTATAAGAGAGAAAAACTGGAAAGATGCTCAAAGATCTTGGAATCTAAATGATAGGTGATCGACCGTCGCCTCGTCCTCTTCATGAAAATGCGTAATTTTATCATCAATAAGATATCTAAGCATAACGTCATTATAACAAATATGTTCCATAATTAAATTTTAAAAAGACTTATCAATGAAAGCTGTCCAAACTCTAGAATCCTAGTAATTCCTTTTTTCATTATCCTACATAATTAAGCAAATACTTTTATCATGGATATAACAAATCCTTTTTATTTATTAATAAACTTATTTCAGTTATTACTTGAATTTTGGCCAATACTATTTGAACGTACTAATATTAAACTAGCTTTACGCCAGCGGTTTCACCCACTTGGTCTTATACATAATAAACTTTCCTCTTGAATCACTCAGAAAAAGATCTCGCATACAGAAAACGGAAAGCGATTTTCTTTTTTTTACTATTTATAGATATTTTTTTTATTACTATCAATAGATAGTATGTTTAGCTTCAAGTCAGGGTTGAGAGTGGGACAGGTATCCTATCTCTCTACCGTGTAGGCGCCAATACTGTTTACTTAATTTAACATAGATAGTTAGAAAATAAAGTACTAACCTATCCAGGCTTCCTCACTTTTGACCATACTAAAGGCAGGATCATCTATGAGCTGCGGCATAACATTTGTGGGGAAACAAATGGCCAGGCCTATTAGGATATGGACCAAACTAACCCATAAACCATATCCTATCTGAATAAATGTGGTCGTCGAAAAGAACTCCGGGTCAGGGTTTATATCATTTGACATGATCAATACACATCATTACATCTAGATTGATATCTAATGGTTCTGAAAATTAACTAATAAATTACTATAAAAGAATGTATTTGTTTAACCATATTTCTAGTTCTTCGTCTTCTTTTATTAATGACTGAAATTAAAGTAAACTTATTTCTGCATGTAAAATGAAGATGAAATGAATGAATGTTTTTTTTATTTATTTATTTTATTTGGAATTGTTCCGTTATACACAGATTGTCTTCATAAATATTATGACCAAAGAGTAAAGTTATATCATAGAGAATACGTATATTTTTTTCATATACATATATTCACACTTTAATCACTCAATCATAACCAAAAATTTTATGAAATTTAAATCCAAATGTTAATTTCGAGTATATAGCACATTTTTCTCATAGTCAAAATGTAAACACAAAGTTAACTAGAAAATTCTGAATATTCTTGGTTTCTTCTTGTATTTATTTATACATTTTTATTAAAGAAAACATTTATAGTTTTGTAGGTGAGGGCTTATAAGAAAATAATAGATTAACTTAAATAAAAAATGGATATAATAAAATAAAGCCGCTTGTTTCAAATTATATTCATTTTTTTTAATATCAATTAACATAATTTTCAAAACGCCTAATAATAATTCAAATAACGCTTAATTTGTTTAACGTTCATTTGTCTTAATTTATGTTAATCTAAATAAATTTCAATTATTATAACTTTCATTTAATATACCGATAAATTGATACGACCGTTGTTTTATATAATTTTATTATTATAATAAGTCATAATAATAAAATTATATAAAATATGGTAAGCCATATAGTCTTAACTAAAATATTACACTATAACGTAATATTATTATTTCTCACCTTTTAAGATAGATCGAACCCAATCAGGTTCGAAATCTTTGTAACAAAACCGATTAAGTTAATTTAAACTCCACTTTTGTTGTTCACAACAGGAACTCATCATTCGATAAGGTTAGGTTAGGTTAGAACTGTGACCAAAACAAAAAGTGAGCCAAGCGGACGCCATTTATGAGTTATTTATTAGCCTAACTTCATTGTATATTCTTTTGGAGGAAAAGAAGTCACCGAGTAAACAAATTGGATTAAATTTTTTATAAGAAATTATTGCAAGTGTTCATTATTTTAAATAGTGTTATGTATGAGATTTGATTTTTATATGAAGTAACTACTATAAGAATTGACAATTATAGGATATCATTAATATGTAAATTGATTTACCTCGTTGTTCTTAAGTTTGGAGACGAAATAGAAGTTGCGTATCATTTTTAATAATTAACATGTATTCCTAAAATTTTCGGTAACCATTAAATAGAAACTAATCAATAATAAATTATATATTTTATACAAAATGACCGCCCTTGTTTTTAATACAGGCCCTTAGACGATATGTCCAGTCATCAATGAGGGCACTAATCTTTTCTAGCGGAATTCGCTTTGCTTCTCGAACAAGGGTTCGTTTCAGTGACTACAAGTTAGGGTGAAACTTTCGGCAGGCCCTGAGCACTAAATTAGTCCATAAAGAATAATCCAGCGGGTTGAGGTCGGGGCTTTAGGGTCACTCGTCCGCCGCGGTTAAGGCCGGCACATTCTCCTTCAACCACGCTTGGGTGCTTTTTGTCATAAGGGATGGCGCCGAGTCTTGCTGAAAAACTTTATCCTTATTATGAAATAACGTATCAGACAGGGATTTCACCACGGGCTCTAAAATGTCACTCTGATAATTCTTGGCTTTCACCTTGACACCTAGTTGGCAGAAATGGAACGGAGTGACACATTCACACGAAACTCCCCACTGTACGAAGCCGGAAGATGAGTGCGCGAGACATTCCGTGCTACTTTTAGCGTACACTTCATTGTTTTATCGGTTGAACTTTTCTTCGACAGTAAAAATTTTCTCGCTGGTGAAGAGCATCTTCCTGGCATCATATTTTCCCAGCAGCAAATATACTAAATGTTAATATTTAATGTGGGTTAAGATTCTATGAGTGTTATATGCTTAAAAGATTATATCACATATGTAAGTATTGTGTAAAATTAATTTCATATTAAAGAAATTATATTAATTGATATTTATTTCTTTCAAAAATATATGTTTTTTAATTAATTCTTCGTTTATTATATGACATAATACTTACATATATTAAACAAAATTATGTTATTCAAAGGTATAAGTTTGTAATTTTTATATATTTTATTATTATGACTTATATTTCACAGCCTTAATACTCTCCAATCCACATTGGGCCAGCGCAGGTCATAGCCCATCCTCCGTAACTAATCCATAAGAAGGCCCTTGCAGTTGAGATATAAAAGGGCTGACGCGATGATGAAAAAATCTATGCTAATATTATAAAGAGGTACAGTTTCTCACTTTATTTGTTTGATTGTAGGTTTTCATCTTCGGAAATACTAACTGATCATGAAGGCCAGTTATTAAATAAAAGAACTATGTTTCTTTTAAATCAATCTTACTTCTTTTAATTTCTTTTCGAATATACTTCAGGATATATGTGTGGCTTGGTAAACTTATTGATAGCGAAAGATGCAGTCAAGATTGGCTTCCGATTTTGTCGGTTTATGTTCTCCTCCAAAGCGCCAAGAATGTTGAGCAGTTGACCACGGGATATTAGGTCGAATTCCAATACGTTAACGTATTTTCCGGGTTTGGTATCTAAGATAAAAAAAAAATTGTTTCACAATTTCATCGAAAAATTCAATATATTTCATTAACCAACACAGATTTTCTTATTGCATTCAAATCGATTTGAGGAGGATTTGAGGAGGATTTGAGGCAGATAAGTAAAGTGTTCTAAGGAAGCTCGGTGTTGTAGTAAGCGTTAACGCGCCGCGATCGTTGTTGATAAGCAAATTCCGCAAGGGTCGGAATGGATGACCAAAAATTGTTTTCTCCGTGCTTCGGAAGACACATTCTGACTCCATTTTCAGTTGTTAATACCCTCCCATCTGCATTGAGCCAGTGCGGAAGATTATGACTCATCCAAAAAGGGCGTCAGGACTGTTTTTTTTAAAGGTCCCGGTCTCGAAAGCAGAAAACGGAATGATTATAGAGTCACTCAGTTGTCCGTCCATCCTTCCGTCTGTTAATAACCCTTTTGTCAGGAATGCATGGAGGTATCTAGTTAATATTTATATCAAATACTCAGATCTAATGTTCCTTAGAGCTGTGAAAAAAAAAACAAACTTCTAAGCCAACGCAATCAAAAGATACAGCTGCAAATTTTCGACATTTGTAGTCGATTATTGATCTATTATATTTATATTGACTCTAATGTAATGATTCTGATTTCAATATATTTTTGGCTTGTATCTTAGAATTAATAATAATAATAATGAACTTTTCAAAAACTATTACCATAGCAAATTTTATCAGCTTTTCGTGTAGTTATTTTAATTTAATTATTTTCTTACTTTTTAATAAACCTCCATTACTTGTGCAAATCACAGTGACAATCCACACCGATACAAAATTGCTAACAGAAATCCGAAAATTCATTTTGAATACTTGCACTATCCACACGCGTTTACAAACAATTCCAGCGAGTTGTGAATTTTGCAAATGAAACAACCACAGTTTATAAAATATTGTATGGGCAGGTATATTACCGTTCGATGTGGTGCTCTTATTATTACCAGTCATTGTAATTAAATTCTCTTTGAAACTTTAGTCGGTCTATTTCTTCAGTTTATTTTAACTCTTGCGAATTACTGTGACAATCCCCACCGGTATGAAATTACAACCAAAAATAATATGTTTATTTATTTAAACTTAAATTGACAGTTTTTTTTTTTCAGTAAAGTCACCTTCTATATGAGACTATTTGGATTTTTTATTGCTATAGCTTTCCTATTGACGTCGTCATAAGGATTAGTTATTAATATCTATATTCTGGTTTAGCTTTTATGTTGTTATATATTACTTAAAATAAGAAATTAGAATCCAGCTACAAATAAAAAATAATTATTTTTTACGTTTTATTATCATAGGTATATTCAACAATTTGTACATATAATACCTAATCTTAATAATATCTACAACACTATCACAAAAATGCTTCCTTAAATTAAGTTATTTCACAAAAAATAATACAGCTTAATATAAACAATAAATAAATAAAATGCTTTATAATCTAAAGGGTCACATACTATTGTAATATATACTAATTAATTACAAAAGCCTATAAAAAATACAACACAGATTTTAAAACTGCCGAAGTTATTTACCAAAAATGCGAAATCCATACTTAATGTTTAGGTAATATTCGACATCTCATTAGAAATATACTTTAATAAACTATATACAAAGTTCAAAATGATATAATTTTTTCTATCTATACTAGTGACTTTTTTATTTTATATATACCATAATACCTAATAGCTGTTTTATTAAGAATTTAGGGTTAAATGGCACATTTTAAAATGATTTGTAAATCTGTACAAAAATATTTTTAGTATAGCAATAAATGTAACATTTTTAAATAAAGATTACAAATACAGCTTATGACTATATTCCTAGGTTGCTCCCAATAAAATGTACATCTTTTGTACTTATTGTTGGATAATTGTAAGTAGATATCAACTCTTTAATAAAATAAATATAAGCCAAATATTTTTCTAAATAACTTTACAATTTGAGTAAATCTACAATCAAGGCATAGGCAAAGGCACGTCTGACTTTTTTTTTAACTTAATTTAAAAATATCTTTCGAGTACTTTCTAAATGTACTAATATCTAAAAGCTTTGTCTTACTAATTTAATATTCAATCTCTTTTTGGTAATTCAAATCAACTACTACACCCAAAATGAAAATTCCGCTATAATGCGTGGTTCGAAAGGAAAAAAGTCAAAATTAACTCAGTTTTCATTCACATAAAGTTCATAATTTTTGCTGTGATCACATGGCTGATTTCACGCTGCACCAGTCAAGGAAGCTTTCTTAAGTGTTTTTGTTCTGCCGCAGAAGTAATCTTCAATCTCTTGAAGTGTCCGTCCCTTGGTTTCCGGCAAGAAGAAGTAATAGAAGACGGTACCTGGTAATAGACCAAATACACTAAACATTGAAAAAGAAGAATAATTTGATCATCTATATTAACATTATACTATACTAGCTTTCAACTAGCGGCTTCACACGCGTGGTCTCGAGTGAACCGTTTGGTGGGACAAAAGCAGCCTATATGTCAATTCAGGCTTAGAATTATCCGTATACCATATTCAAATCCGTTCAGTAGTTTTTGTGTGCAAGAGTAACAAACATACATATATCCTCACAAATTTCCATATTTATAAAATTAGTAGGATATTTTTTTTTGCTTGGATCCTTCAATAACAGCGTAAAAGTACAAGACACCATATACAGACTTTGCAAAGGCTTTTTCATTGCGTAGAACCACTACCCATAGAAATTTAGAACGTTGAGTCGTTATGAGTTTCTGCCATTCCGTTCAGGTTCTAGAGTGCTGTAGGGAACAAATCTGAGCTCGCTACTCTTCTTGATATTTATAACTGATCTTCATGATACTACTGAAGTCGACTATCTTGTTTTTGCCAAGGATATATATATATTATAATGTTACAATTTTATTTATATTAATATGACAAGCTTTTCTATTCTATTTGATATCAAGGAAATCCACTGTAGTAGACTTTAGTATATTACGTAGTAGACTACGCTAAGGAGTCAGTTACCGTCGGTTTTTGGATTGTATATCCCTTATAGCAGTATTTCCCAACCTATACTCAGAAGAACCCTAGGAGTCTGCAAATGTACGCCAACGGAATCTTAAGTAGCATTAGCTCAAATATCACTGACTTAGTTGTCAAAGAGCAGTAAGTACATTATTTATGAATCGACGGTAATTTTGGGCAATTTCTTGTCATGAACTATTTTAAACATTTAAAACATTTTAATACTCCAGTATTAAGTATTAAGATGTAATCATTTCCTCTTCATAACTAGTTAATCAGCAAATTCTTTAAAAAAGGTATTGTTATGAAACTCACCAGCGATAGACATTGTGCCGTACAATGCGAAGACACCGTAGTCGTTAAGAGCGTGTTTGAGCAATGGGAAGGTCTTCACCACGGAGAATACTGACAAATGTGCAGCGCAAGTCGTCAGACCACCTACTATACCACGGACCTGAACAAACAAACAGGAAAATAATAAAATACTAAGACACTTCCTATTAGACGATGATTTAAAAAAATAAAAAATGAAGAACTTGTCGAAAAACGATAACACGATATATATCAAGAATAATGGGACTCTATTAAGAAAGGGAAGTGCAATGAGACGGATAATGTTTTCATTATTTCTTTGCACATAACCAGTTGGATTGAAATTTAGTGGATGGTTTAGTATGAGTGCCCTTTAATATTGGCTGTAAGTATATTTTACAAGGGACATTTAATATTACACCATGCCTTATGTTTTAAATATAAGAACTTCAAATGTCTTATTGTATTAAAAACTTTATTATATTTTTGACGATGTTCCAAATAAACCAAACCATATATCGAATCTGTAGTAATATTGTTGATGTGCTAGCATCCAGCAGGCCTACAGTGTAACTACACTCACATTGTATGAAAATGCACTCAACATTCAATATTGTTGTATTGTTAGATATCATGTATACGTTCACTTCATCGGGTTGTTGATTCAAATGAGCTAAATATTCAATACAGTAATAAACGTGTATTTTAATTCAATGTCATTGGAGTTAGAATTTATTCTTGCAATATAACGGACATCAAAATAACCATAAAGTTCCAAATTCAATACCTGTGTCGGATAAACTTCTCCGATCATCACCCAAGGTACGATAAGGTAGCCCAGGGTGCAGGAGATTGTGAATATGAAGATACTGGCCACTGGGATCCAAGAGTGAGACGGTGGTATATTGTTTTCCCTCCAGTAGTGAACGAAGTACATATACACGGAGAGGGTAATCATTGTAGAGCCGCAACCGATCGCTGAAAACAATAGATTAATAGTTCTGATATTGGTATCTGAGACCTAAATGTCTAATTTTAAACCTTTCGCAATTTTTTTCATTTTGGCATTTGAAAGATATTCAAGAACTTCACACCATAACTATTTGACATGTGATAGCGATTGCAATAAAGACCTTATAAAGATATTGGATGAACGATATCGTTAATTTGACGTTAACTGAAATTGTTTAAGGGCGAGCCTTAGAGACGCAAATAGTACTTTAATTACTAACGGTCAGTTGCACAAACGTACAGTAAGGTTTAATGATGCTTTTAAGCTCTAATGAATGTCAGTATGATTAATATCGCTTTAAGCTAATGAAAATTTTAATAAACGTTTAGGCAACTGGCAGAATAGCGCCTTAAATTAATTACATTTTTCATGAACGTTTGTGCAACTGGCTATTTATTTTTATTATATTTCTTAATCATTCAAATGATCAAGCGATTACGACTTAAATTATTACCTATTTAATATTTTATCTTTAGTTTTCTTTACTGAAGCTAAAATTGTAAGTTTTGAAGGTACATTAAAATCTTCTGCAAGGGACTCTCGCATATTAAGATTGACCAGTCCAATATTCTACAGTGAATGCTTACCAGAAACAAAAGTGAGAGGTCTTCGTCCACATCGGCGACAGAGTATACATCCGACTACCGTGAATAGGACACGGATGACACCCATCGATATCGTAAGCAAGTATTTATCTAGTGTTGCTCCTGACGCCTGCAAAACAATATCACTCAACATTTGTTCAAAACATTTTATGAAAACCACTGTGACCGAGTAGCTTTTATACCGATTTCAAGATGTCTCCATCTCTGAGAACCTGGACTCGATTCCAGTCGGATCAATGTAGTAAATGATCTTTTCTATATTAAATTGTGTCGGGTCGTCCGTGTTGTACCTTGTTTTTTTCAGATTTTTCATAATACAAGTGCTTTAGCTACTCAAGGGAGACCAGGAGAATAAGATAAACTTACTTTGAAGATTTCAACTGCGTAGAAAGTGATGGTGTTGACCCCACACCACTGGTACAGGAAAAAATATATCGCCAGAATACTGAACGGTTTCAAGGCGGATGGCGACAGCAACGCCTTTATGATTTCTTGTGGAGTTTTCAAGCTGGTAAATAATAAATACATACATAAATTCCATACTGATGATAATCTCGGAGAAAAAAATCTAATATATAATAGCTCTTTTCTCATGACTTATCCCGCGTATATAGTAGCTCCCCTAGGTAAATTAATTTCTAAAATCGGATCAAATTACTCTATAAACAAACAAACAAAGATAGACCGCTTTATAATATAAACATAGACATAATTCCTAATGAAATATGCTTAAAATATAGAGTTTCTATTAAAGATGTAAAGTGCACTACGAGGCTGATATTTCATTACTGTTCAAACAAGAAAGACTCACTCACGGTTCACGAGTACTCATTTAATTAATTGGAATTGAATTGTATTCTATTTGTAAATCATTGTAACTTACGGTTCGACACGATTCTTCTCTTTAAAGGTGATCATCCTTTGGATTTCTTCATTCAGGTTGCATGTCGAACCTCTTAGCTTCGTCAATGATTTCTCAGCCTTATCTGCCTTGTCATTGGTTAAAAGATAGTTAGGGGTCTCTGGCAATATTAACATTCCAAGGAGCGAGAGAACTGGTACAATCACGCTAATACCAGCCAAGATGTTCCATGTTGTAGCACTTCCAATCACGTACTGAATGTAAAAACAATAAAATATTACTAAAATATAATGTTACAAATTTCAATAGTAAAAATAACTTCAAACTCTTTTCTAAAAGAGGATTTAAGACTACACAGAGAAGGAACAGATAATATTATATTATTAACGCCCAATCAATATCGGCCTTTGAAAAATACTTTCTACTTTTTCGATCATTTAGGTATAAATTTGATAGAAACTACATTTTGATTTCTTCAAATTTTGTCAAGTAATCCTGCACAAATTCAACCGTATATCTCCATATAAATGTGGCATCAGTATGCCGATATTAATCTGAATTTAGCGTATGCCTTATACTATAAGGCCTATGCCTTATTAAAAAAATCTATTTCAGCTCAATGCAAGTGTTTTTTGCTCATCTAATTTTATACTTGGAAAAACACATGTTAGAGATTGTTCCACTTCTAATTTTATAGTTGAATCAACATAGTCGCTATTCAATTATCATTCATCAACAACGTGTGTATGGTGATAATAGTTCAGTAACGAAATCCCTCAGCTTCAAAACGAAGTCACGAATTCAAACATACTAAGTTTATTTTTAATAGGTTCCTAAATGAAGTTGGCTGATAAATTACCGCCATGATGTAAATGTTTACAATATTTGACATTTTATTTAGAAAATTACATTTCTCTGTCGCAACTGAATTCTTAGATTTACCTCAGAAGCAGAAACTGGTATAATGCAACAAATAAAAAATGTCTTCTACCTAACCTTGGATTACGATACATTCATTGACTGCTGAAAATTATAAAAAGGCGCCTATTTAAAAAGATAATTTATTGTTAAGAAACAAACTAATACTAAGCTCACACTTGCGGTTAAAGGTAAAATCAAGTCCCTTTCATTAAGTTTTTAGGGTACGATTTTCGATAATTCTACAATTTTAAATTAAATATTAAATCTGATTCATTAGTAAAATCATTAATCCAGAAGAGGTGAACTGTTTGGCAATTCCTATTCTCATTCCAATATGGTTTTAAAGGATAGAAATCACATCAACAGCCCTTTTACGTCCCCACTGCAGGGGCTCAGGCCTTCCTTATGGATGGTTAAAGAGGATGGGCCATGACCCTCCACGCTGGCCCAATGCGGATTGGAGGATATTAACGACTGCAAATGCAGCCGGGACCAACGGCTTAACGTGCCTTCCGAAGCATGCGAGTAGCTCGAGATAATAATTGTTGGTCACCCATCCCGTAACCGACCCTTGCGAAAGTTGCTTAACGACTACGATCGCGGGCCGCGGCGCTTATCTACTACGCCATCGAGCTACTGGAAGGATAGAAATAGTGATGGAAAATTTCAATGGGATCTATCAAAAAGTTCATCGACCAGAATCGAAGGAAATCACTCGAATGATTCAAAGAAAACGTGTGTGGCATTGAAGGCAACTAACGTCATATTGTTTGTTCAACTGACGTAACGATCACATGTCTTCTTGTAATGTTCTAGGTAGGTCGGATAATTACCACGAATTCGTGAGTTTCGTGTTGTTATTGATGTGACGTCAGAGGGTTTGCTCAGGTGGTAGGTTTCGGTTTTTACTACCCTATTTGATGCAAGATATTAATTGAAAATTGTCTTGCTAAATATCTAGTAACTTAAAATTTTTTGAAGTTTGAAAATTATGAAATATGATAAAACTTAAAAGTTAATGTTATTGTATTTCATAAATTTTGCATTCAAGCATTGGTTTTTCGAATCCACAGCTTTATTTGTGCGATGAACATTCAAGACTAAAGTTTGTATTTTAATTAGTTTCTAGATAACGGATATTATTCATTTTTGATTTTTTTTTATAAAATAATTATATTATTTATACAATCTTAAACTAGAAAATTCTTGATATATAATGAGATGCGGACGTGTCCTAACCTTAAAAGAATCTAAAAATCTCAAACAAACCCCTATAGTGCTGAAATTTGTTAATTTAAAATTCAGCATTATATACTAAAAGCTCGTGACAAAAATATGCACAAGTTTTGTAATTATTGATTGAATGTGGTAATTCGAATAGCTTACCTATTCGAATACTCCCAATAAACAGAATCAATCGTTAATATTGTAATATTGTGGGAGAATTATAATCAGACATACTTGTATCAAAACACCAGTGGAGACTCCAACAGAAGCCAACGCCCCCAGCATACCTCGGAGGTGAGGCTGAGACACTTCGGCGGTGTAAACTCGAGCCGGGGCGCCCACCATTCCCGATCCGAAACCTATCATCAGCCTGCCTACACAAAGTACAATTTTGGAGATTATATTAAATAGTTATTATATTCAATTAATTTTACAATTTAAATGCTATACCTACTTTCTATATTTAATGAAAAAAACCGTAGGTTAATGACACAGACAGAATCAGATAAGTATTGCACGAAATAAAGCCAAATATTAATTTTAATTTGTGCAATAAATTTAGTCTAAATAATAATAGTTAGCTCTCACTACCAGCGTTTGCCGATAGAAAAAAAAACAATCATATGCTTTGCCGTACATATGTCATTTTGCTATGAGTTATCGCTTTCAACAGTAAATCCTCAACACACTATAAATAGGTTCTATTAATTTTACTTACCAATATACAACATATTGACGTTTTGCGCTGACGCGATCAGTACCCAACCAGTTATCAGCGGAATTTCAGTCAAAATGAGAGTCAATCGGCGTCCAATTGCGTCCATCAAATAACCGCTGACAATACATCCCATAGGAGTACCAGCCGCGCTCAAACTCGCTGAAGTATGAAACAATAAAATAATATAAAATTCAAGAGTTATATAAGATACCACTACCACCATCGTAACCTTACTGTTTGGCACAGGCCCTTCCTGCCCGTGTAGCGTGATGAATGTGAGAGACTCAAGAAATGGGTGAAAGCAAAACAGAAAGTGATATATTGTATGGGCATATCTTACTCTCGATCCGTTTTTGAGCGCTTCTAGTCTCACGAGTTCGTCACTCTTCTTCATATTAAAACGGAGTGAGAGTGAGATATGCTCATACAATATCTCACTCTCGTTCTTGCTCTCACCCGTTTCTCAAGTGTCTCACCGGCATCATGCTAAGCTGTAGATGGAATCAATTAGGAAAAATGGGCCTTAACCCATCACGAAGCTACAGTGCACCATGCAGCTATGACCAACATCTTAACGTACTTTCCAAAACACGGAGTTCGAAATAATATATTTATTTAACCACAACAATCGCAGACCGCTCCAAGTAGTAACTTAATTTTGAACTCACCTATCCAACTAGCTTGATTTTCCGTAATTTGTATGCTTGAAGTATTACTTTGCAGTTGAGGTAATGCGGTAGCGGAGAAACCAAAGGCCATGCCGGTATTGATGGTCCCCAAGTTCACGATAAAGGCAGCGACAATTTGCCGTAGAGCTTTCCCCCTGCCTGCCTTGCTTGGATCAGGCTGTTTCTTCGCATTCGAACTTTTGTTTGTGATGACTGGCTTTGATCCATTTTTTAAAAACGGAGACGAGTCGTTCCTGTAAAAGAATAAATAAAATAATTAACATATAGGCAAAATATTATAACCTTATTATATTAGTGATCGAAATAAAAGTACTGTGTTTACTAAAACAGAGTTATATGATAATAGATTATAGTATATTTCCGAAACAGTAATAAGTATATTAAGAAAAGTTTTTATATAATAACCACACTGATACCAGATTAATGGATGTTATTTTTTTTTTCAAAATAGTTTTTCGTTATTCATTTTTAAACATGCACTAATAATATCCATTACATACTCTAATAATAAACATTGTATGTTTAATTATAAGACAGAATTGCATAAAACCTTCATTGTAATGGATTTAAAAAAGGTTCTTTAACTAACTTATTTACATTCAACACGTTAAAGGTTAGGCCTTTATTCTCAATGTCGAGGCTTTTACAATCATTGAATATATCAATCGATATTGTAATGCTAAATTTATTAGGTAATTTTCCTCCGTTAATATGATAATTTTAATACTTAACATTACCTGTTAAAGGCGGTAATGATCTTGACAAACCTTCAGCTTTAAGAAAATTCTAGAAACGGTTTGTTATCGTTACAAAACATTAATTTTAGGTATATGAAAATATAGATAGTGTAAATCTGTAAAATAGAGATTTTTTTTAACCGAGTTATGTGGGACAAGAGTAAATAAATCTCAAGAAAAGAAATAAAACATCATGGACACTCGGGGACCATGTCCTGTGTTGTACCAAAATAGCTTGTTGATGAATATGGTAAAAGAAAACGCTTGAATAATGAGTCGGTGATAAAGGGGCGATAAAAGTAATAATGGCGTTTTCACACGTTTTAACATCAGATAAAGTAATATTAATTTGTGTAAATTTTCACCAATAAACATTGTATTGTGTTAATTTGAATATTACATTTTTTCTGGTAATTCGTTATCTACTAACGATTATAAGGTATCAAGAAGTTAGAACAATGTGGGTTCTATAATGATGTGGGACCTTTGTATGCGTGTGAGGGTTATCATTATAAGTATAAAGAGTTCTATTGACCTCAGAAGAAGAGTTAACTTGTTAATATTTAATAGAATAGGAAGTTAACGTTTAATCTAAGCGTTTAATTGATTTTAATATTTCTATTTTTATTAACTTTAACTTGTTACTTCGTTCGCATAGTCTGTGATTGTATTATTTGTTTAAAACGCCTAAGTCCGTGTTCATACCTCAAACTCTTCCTGTATCAAGTTTTATATCAATTGGCCTGCATTTTTATACTTTGGTATAATAACTCTTTTCTAATTAAAAATAAGATTAAGCCGATTTAAAAAAAGAACTGGCAGTTAAACAATCAAATCTTATTTTTTTAAATTAAGAATGAATCACTGTAAATTTTTACCATACGGCAAGTCGATTCTGTAAAAATCTGATCCTGAATTCGAATTCACTCAGGTGTCCGAATCCACTTAAAAAAGCGGCATTCCCTCAATCTTGAATTGGTAATAACGTTTCGTGGCATAAGTGAAGTGAGTTTCGAAATGACATAGGAATAGAATATCTGAGACACGTATATTCAATAAATTTGGTTTTGTATTTTTATGCAAAAAATAGAATCAATAGAATATCTACACTAAATGACTTGAATTCGGACACATGAGTGAACTCGAATTTGTGTCTGGATTTTTACGGAACGCAAGTCTGGTTCGAATCGGCCAATGGGTTGATTGAAACGGCAAATTCATATAGTAATTTGTGTCATCCCATAGAAACGTGTTTGTGACGTGGTCTAATAAATCTCAGTCGGTTTCTATGATACAATTATTGTTCGATCATGTCGATGACTCCATACAATTGATAAGTATGTAGATATGTATGTAGACATTTAAATGTATTGATGTCACTTTGAGGACATGTTAATAAACACACATTTACTCTGTTTATCCGAACTAGCTGTTTTCTCACGTCTGTGCTCCTGGAAATTAAAGCCTATGTCACCAGCGTATAATGAAGCTTCCTATAGGTTAAAGAATTCTTATTGTGTCCAGTAGATACGTTGGGAGCCTATACAGTGTAAATAAATAATCCAATATTTTCTCTTTGTAGCATTATTGCAGATAGTAAAAAGACTAATTTAAACCTACTTTAATCCCAAATTATACATATCTCTTCTTTGACCAGGTAACTCGCACATCGGTTTCAAGGTGTCGCCATTTTTGAGGTATCGTTTCCCGTTTGTATTGTCTCTGGTTTGAGTATAATGTAACCTTCTTTGTTTCAGATTTCCTTTATACGAGTACTTCGGCTACTTAATTTGAGACCTGAGCAATATAGGTATGTGATAATGTCTAATATTTATTTGTTATATTAGATTATAAAAACTGTCAAATTTCTCTACTCGATTTTAATGAGATCTCATCTTAATACATGGAGGGTAAAGTCCAATTTGACCTAACATGCATCCCTGTTTTATCAAATTTTAATTTTTAAAGATTATCACATCACCAGCCTAATAAAATCCTCACTGCTGGAACTCGGGCCTTCATCAAGGATGGAATCAAATCAAATCGAATAGGGAGAATGGGCCATGACCCACCGCGCCGGCCCAACACGGTTTGGTGGGTTCTATTGACTGTAGATGCAGCCTGGACCATAGGCATAACGTGCTTCCGAAGCACAGAGGAGCTAGAGATAATAATTTTCCGGTCACCCATCCTGTTACCTCGAGCTCCAAGATTATATGCGTCACTAAATTGATACAAGTGATATTTTCTTGTATTATGTGTATGGATTGCCTCATACGATTTCTGTAATAGAGATTCCCAATTAATCAAAGGGAGGAAGCGACAGAAATGCCGAAACATTTACCAATTGCCCTAATTAGTTACGATTAGGAGTTGCATTGAGAATTGAGACATGAATTATCCACTAACCCTATAGATAATATAAAACTACTAATTTTAACATTTACAAAATTTCAATAATACTTCAAAAATGAACAAAAAAGTATAGAAAACTTGTTACAATAGATAGATAATATTAAATAATCTGTTTGTCCGCGTATTTTTCGCATATTAAATATCAGGGCGTAATGGTCCTTTTGTTTTGTTTAATCAATAAACTTTCAATTCTTGAACTTCATCAAAATCAGTACAAAAGTTTTGAAGATATAAGAGATTAACAATTTTAATATGAAAAAAATAAAATATATATAAAAAACAAAGCCGACTTCAAAATAATCTTAATAAAAGTAGCTTGAGGAACTTCAATTGAATTGGGGCGGATTGTCAAAACGAAACGTCCTAAGCGGAACCCCCGCCTTTACATCTTATTTGGACATAATTTTTTTAATACAAATCGGTTTAAAAATGAGCCATTTTATGTGTATGCGCCGTCTTAAGTACGAATAAAATTTTCCGTGTAAACGAGAGTGTAATTTAATTACATTTGTATTATTAATTATTATACATATACTGTAATAGTATTTAATAACTTCAAATAATTAATGAATATGTCCTTGAATTAAAAAAAAAAAACACTTTATATGTACATAGGTAGATTCATTACAAAAATAACAAAATCTAGTTTAGGCGAATACCTAATTACATTAATTAAGTATTTGTCCATATAAGTTAAAGATTCTCAGCAATTTATTCGCCAATCATGTATAGTTAATTAATGTTTCACGAGTCTACCGACAAACTCGTATTTACTTAAGTAAGCTCGCCCTATTTAAACTAAGTATAAGCCGTTTTATTTAATTAAGAGAAGATAAGCCATAAATAATAATGACATTAATATAAAGATATTAATGTCATTATTATTTATGGCTTATCTTATCTTAATAAATAATAAAGATTATTTATTGCACACTACCCATAACATATTACAAAGAAGCTAGAATAAAAGCATACAAAAGGCTTATTGCTACATAGCAACCTTTATCAAGCAACTCGTGGAGAAAGAAGAATATATAAACAAGTGAAGGAGAAGGGGATGCAAGAAGAATTACTAAATAGATACCTATTTAGACTAATATTATGAAAAAGGAAAGGTTTCATTGTGTGTTTATTGCTCCGAAACTTTAAAATTCTTTCATCTACGGGAAACTACATCATACGAAAGGCAACGTCGCAGGAAAGAAGTTAATTACTAAAAAAAGTGATAAAATTTGCAGTTTTTAAATACATATTACAGTAATAATTTTCAAGGAAAGAAATTAAGTCTTCACTTGAGTAACAAAACAATGTAAAGTACCTATTTCTTTTACAAATATTTATCATTTATCAATTTTCCATTAATATATTGCCTCTCTTCATTCCGTTTACCCTATACCTTAAGGGATTCCTCCTGAAGATATTGATTGAAGAAGATAAAATCGTTAAAAAATAAGTTCTGTAGTTGTTATCTTATTATTATACATAGCATCTACCAAACCCCTCACCACATGTAGCCAAAAACACATAAAAACTTTTTATTATAAACTAGAGTATACTTTAATCTTTGGGTCCGTACTTAAAAAGGAAACCATACTAGGGTCACTCTGTTGCCTTTCTGTACGAGTGTCTGTGATAGCCGATTTTCTCTTCTTCACAGAGTGACTTTATTACTGAAACTTCTGGCTCCCCACTAAACTCCCTTAATACGTTCAACATACAGTTAAAAACAAACTGTGACGTCACATTTCAAAGAGGACTTACGAAGTATCACCAACGTCATGGGTTGCCATAGAGCCGTAATCATAACAGTAACCATTTGGTGTCAGTCTACGAGGCGCGATTATTCAATATAGACCTGTACATTTACATCTATCTCATGATATTTACATAATTATTATAGTAAACACGTAACACGAGCAGTGTTGCCAACCCAAAGAAACCAGAAAACGAAAGCTCACCAAATAAAAAACAGGAGAAAATAGTCGGTTAAGTAAAAAAGGTAAATTGTTTTAATTATATGAGAACAATATGTTTGTACTTTTATTAAGTATCATGATATACATACATTGTTATTTTATAAT